GCTAACTGCTTGGTCAGGATAGATTTAGGCAAGCTTTTGAATGCAGTGCATTTGAAGAAGAATGTGCCACATTTGAAAGCTTGTCCAAGTCTCTGCCAACTGTACAGTTAGTCCAATAAAAGATCCCACCCATACAAATCCTTGCCTATCTAAAAAGATGAATAAGATATAGCTAAATAGGACATAACATTAAGAAACAACCAACCACACTCCCCTTCCCAAAACCAAAAAACCCAAACCTAGAAAACAACTTGTTCAAGTGTAGATCCTGTGGACTAGAGTAGCTGAACTGGAGCAGCTGAAAGAGCTAGAGAAATATTTAGATGAGACCTACAAGTGCATAGTAGAGCAGTCCCATCTCCATTCTGGCAGCCCCAGTATTTCTGAGGAAAAGGAAGGTCCTGGGATAAGAGCCCAGCATGCTGGAGAGGAGGAAAAGCACCCTGTGGCTTGCATCTGCTTTCCAGCTGAAGTCCTTCAGAGGAGTCCAGTTGACAGGTTTTATTAAGGGACTCCATTATTAGGAGTACAGAAAGTTTGGTGTGTGATATGTAAAAGGACTGTATGGTGACCTCCTTGCCTAGTTAAATCTGCCTGGCAGACCCCACCAGAGACACACTGGCTAGCTTGTTGGGAGTGCTGGAGAGGAACTGGTGGTCATGGCCCATGTTGGCACCAGTGACATAGGAAGGTGCAGAAGAGAGGTCCTGGAAGCTAAATTAAGGCTGTTAGGGAGAACATTAAAGTTCAGCACCTTCTTGGTAGCATTTTCTGAAATGCCTGTTTCCAGTGTTTGGTACCTGAAACAAACTGCAGAATTTCAATGCATGGGTGAGGAGATGGTGTGGAGAGGAGGGTTTTGGGTTTATTAGGAACCAGGAAATCTATCAGGAAGAGCCTGTGCTGGAGGGATGGCCTTCACTTGAACCAAAGTGGTAGCAGACTGCTGTTACATAATATTAAAAAGGTGTTAGAGCAGCCTTTAAACTGAAAACTGGGGGAAAGCTGACAAGTGCGGAAATGCTCACAGTTCAGACCGATACATCCTTTAGGGGTGAATTCCTAACAATTTAGATCTTTCCAGAGAAGATAAGAAATAGGTTGAGAAGTCTCAGGTAAAATATAGGGAAGAGCAGCAAAAACAGACAGTTCCGAATTAAACAGGACACTAGTAGGCAACTAGGCAATAATAAAAAGTAGAAGGGCTTTTATACTAATGCCAGAAGTCTAGTATCCAAGGTGGGTGAACTAGAATGCTTGGCATTCATTGACTATAATGACACAGATCTCTCAGAAATGTGGTGGAATGAGAAAAACCAATAAGATACTGTAATACCAGAGTACAATTTTATAGGAATGATAGAGTAGGTTGTACTAATGGGGGAGTGGCATTCTGTGCTAAAGACTGCATCAAGTCAAATAGGGAAGATCTTTTAACCATTAAAAAAGAAGAAAAAAGTACCATAAAATCTGTGTGGGTAAAAATTCAGTCTCTAAGGAAGAGTATATTTCTAGGGATATACTATTGACCACTAGTCCAGGATGGCTTCAGTGAGCTAAAATTGCTAAGGGAGTTGACAGAGGCTGCAAAAGCAATAATAATGGGTAACTTCAGTTGTCCTCAGGTAGACTTGATATATCTCACCCCAGAGGGATGCAGAGTCTAAATTTCTAGACACCATAAATAAATTATTTCAGAAGTCAGTTGCCCTGGAATCAACAAGAGGAACGGCTATTTTTAATTTAATTCTAAATCGTATACACAGAATTTGGTACAAGAGGTAATTATTGAGACCCCCTATAATGATGATCACAATATATTGGATTTGACATCCTTGTAGGAGGAGACAAAAAACAAAACAATTCACCATGGTAGCTTTTAACTTTAAAAAGGGGAAACTATGCAAACATGCAGATGCTAGTTAGAAGGAAATTATGAAGGTTACCAAAGAAGGTTAAAAACTTGCAAGCAGCTTGAGAACTGCTTAAGAACACCATATGGGAGATGCAGAGTAAAAGCATGCTGAAAATCAAAAGGAAAAAAAAGAAGAACTAGAAAGCAGACTAAAAAGGAGCTAGCATAGTTAAATGGCAGAGCAAAAGAAGCTTCATAAGGAAGAAAAGACTCTATTTAAAAAGTGGAAGTTAAGTACAAATGAGGAAAATAAAAAACAGTATAAACTCTGGCACATCGAATGTGAAACTGTCAATAAGGCAAGCTAAAAGAGAATCTGAGAAGAAACTTGCTAGAGACCTAAAACTTAACAATAGACATTTCTTTAAGTATACCAGAAGCAGGAAGCCTGCCAGGGAGTTGGCTAGACTGTTTGATCATTGGGGGCACATCTACACATGCATATTAATGCACATGAATAAATTCCAGTGCTTGTTGCGCTGGAGATTATTGCTCCTGGGCGTACATTTACACATGTGCCTGGGACCTCAGCATGTCAAGCCAGATCACAGAGCAGCCCTGGCTGGCAGTGGGCCCTTGGTGGTCAGCCTGGCAGCCCAGGGCTGCTCCCCTGCAAGCTTGGCATGCTGCAGAGGGGCTGGCTGGGGCAAGCGAGTGCTTCAGTGCAGGGCGAGTTGACAGGCAGCCCCCATACTGACACACCTTTGTGCCCCAGCCAGCAGGGTCAGTGTCTACACATGTGTTGCTGCACACAAAAAGGCTCCCACAGCAGGATAATCACTTGTATTTACAAGTACTAACCTGTTGTGCAGTTTATTAGTTGCCTGTGGCCTAATAGCGCCACACATGTAGACACCAAGATGTTTACTGCAGAGCTAATTGGGTAACTCCACAAGTAACATCTTGTGTAGATGCACCCAGGGTGTAAAAAGAGTGCTAGAGGAGCATATGGTCATTGGCGGGGTCAGTGTCTTGTGGAAGAGAGCCAGGATGTGAAATAGCTAGAAGCAGGGGTGTGATAGTAGCCTCCTGCCTGGGTTTCTCTCATGGACAAAGAACATGGGGAGCAGCATGTGATATACCTAGGAGAGGGTTGCAGAGTATATTATAGAGCAGTGGTCTCCAACCTTTTTAAGTTGGAGATATCACCTCAGCATTTAAAAGCAACCCAAGATCTACCATGTACCACTGCCACCCCCACCCCTGCAACCCAGCAGGTAAGTCTATAGGAAAGGAAAGGGGCGGGGGGTGGAGTGCAGATTGAGGCAGAGGGAGGAAAAAATATTTGGGGGTGCGCCTCCTAAACAGGTAAGTCCCACCCAGCCAGGGCCCCAATCAACTTACCCCATTCCTGCCTCTGCGGCACTGTCCCTCACCACAGGGGACTTGATCTAGCTCCCACCCCTTCCCTCCCCCACAGACTGACCTGCTGAGCTGGGGCACACACATACATGCACGCAGGCACTCAGCTCCCCACCCCAGCCTCGGATCAGCTCCAAGAGGCTCCAAGATCTACTGGTGTATCGCGATCCACTGGTTGTACTGGTGGATCGAGATCCACTGGTTGGTGACCACTGGTATAGAGAAACAAGGCCTTGGGGGTGCAAGGCCTCCTGCACCAGAGTCCCGCTTCTTCCCCCTCCCATTCCTCCCTCAAGAATCCTACTGCACTCCCTGGCCCACTGTCCCTGCACTCCCTGGCCCACTCACAGTCACCCTCAGGCTTCCCTCCCAGCTTCCCCCTCGTGTGTGGCTAGGTTCATCCTCTTCCCACTCCCTGCCTGCCTCCCCAGTTTGTCCCTAGTTTTTCCCCCTAAGTGTGTCTTAGTCCTAAATCTAGCTGCTGATCTCCTGCCCCAGTCCCTAAGTTAGCCTGAGTACCCTAAACCTAACTAGCTAATCTCCCTGGGGTTCCTTCAGTCACCTCTTTGGTGTCTGGCTCAGCTATACCTACCTGACCTGGCCATGGCCCTACCTTTTCTTTTTGTTAGCCCCAGGTGCAGGGAGGCTACTGAGGCCAAATTCCTCCTGTGTGCAACTCTGTTGACTTCAGTAGCGTTATGCCTGCAATGTACTTGGGCCCGTGTGTAGACTTGGTAAACAACGATTAAGACAAGTGAAATGCCAACAAATATTTGTTGGGTGTCAGTGGTAATTGTTTAGAATGACCCCAGATTAAGTTCCCTCAAATTGTTACCCCAAGTTTTTTTTCTGTACCTTTGAAGTTAGGGCACAGAAAAACAGTTCTTGTTCTGACCTCCCGTGATCAACTCCCCCCCTCTCTTCTCAGTTGTTTCTTTTTATTCTCACCCTTTGTGCTTCCCTGTCCTGAAGCCAAATTTGAATGCATTACAGTAGTTCTCTTATGCCTTTTTTGATAGTAAATCTGGCAGCTTCAAATGTTTCCCCAAAACTCAGCTATACTATGTCTGCCAATTTCTTAATAGACAATAACAGTTCTGTTGAATTGGGGAAGGTATAGTATCTGAGACTATTCCTCTGGTGTTTCCTTTCCAAGCCATTTAAAAGCACACCCTCAAATCCCCATTTTGCTCAATTGAGCTTCCTGGGGACAGGGACCATGGGGAACCCATTAGGCATCTAAAACAATTCGAGTGCTCTGCTTACCTCATCTACCCCATATTGGGCTTGGCTATTTCCAGAAAAGACTAAAGGATATCTCTTACTCCTTTGTGATTCCTCTATTTGTTTCATAATACTTAGTTCCCTGCCTCCAATAAGCTGATTTACAGTTGCAGAACTTGAAAGTCTTTGTAGCTTTTATCTTTCTCATTACTACTAAGTACCCTCTTGATCCAAGTTTGTTGGCAGAGCAGCATGCACTGCCATTGCCTGATCTGTGATTAAGAGGCTAGCACTCTGTCACCTTCCCGCAACACTAAAATTCACTCTAGGAAAATTTAAACAACCTAAAGTGTTTTGTATCTTCACTTTATCTGCTTATCAAAAAGGAAATGTCACGTTTCAGAACATCCACAAAACACAGAATTGACAATTTATGCATGTTGCTCCCAATGAGATGCGATATCATCATTTACTATCTCCCTGTCTTTGTTAATTTCAGAGTTCCTGCTGAGATTGTGTGGAAGGATGGCTGCTGCAGAGCCCCTTACTGCTTTCTCCCGATGGTACCTTTATGCCATTCATGGTTATTTCTGTGAGGTGATGTTCACAGCTGCCTGGGAGTTTGTGGTCAATTTTAACTGGAAGTTCCCAGGCGTTACCAGTGTGTGGGCACTCTTCATCTATGGCACCTCCATCCTCATTGTTGAGAAGATGTACCTGTATCTGAAGGACAAATGTAACATTATAGTGCGCTGCCTCATTTATACCCTCTGGACTTATTTCTGGGAATTCACCACTGGCTTCATCCTGCGCCAGTTCAATGCCTGCCCATGGGACTACTCACAGTTTGATTTTGACTTCATGGGCCTCATCACTCTTGAGTACGCCATCCCATGGTTCTGTGCTGCTTTCATCATGGAGCAGCTGGTTATCAGGAACACACTGCGCTTGCGGTTTGATGAGAATGCTGAGCCAGGGGCTCCCACTGCCACTGTCACCTTGGCTAATGGCCATGTCAAAACTGATTGAATGATGACTGAGCACCACACTTACAAACTAGGAGAACCCACCCCCATGCCAGAAACTGTCATCTCTGGCTTCAAAGACTACTATTTCCTGTAAGATAGCTACATAAACTCCTTTATAATGAGGTGTGCATGGGAATATACCAGAATAAAAGCAGAACCAATAGATTTTCTATGGATTTTACTCTTTTGGCCACAAGGACCAGTGTCAGCTACTTATTAGGTAGTTTCTGATTTTAACTTATTATGGACAAAACAGTCTTATTACTTACATTTTACATTATGTGGAGAAATAAGAAAAATGCTACAGTCGTAAGTGTACACAAAAAAACCCACTAGTGGATGGGCATGGATGCGCCAGCTAAATTAGTGATTGGCTTATTCCATTAGGCAATATTCAGGTGCTTGCTTGCAACCAATACCTCCCATGGGACCTGAGATGCTGCAGGGCCAAGGAAAATTCATCTGCTGTTGAGGACAACTTAGCAGTGGCACTCTACTGGGGAGGTTGACTGTTTCCTTTCTTGTGGTCCCCCTGGCCTTCCCCGGGGGCTCTTTATTGCACCACAATACATTATGGTGCTGGACATCTTATGGAATTTATATAAAATTTACACTTTTTGAATGCTCAATCCTGATGCTCAGTAAAGAGCTCTTTCTTTTTCTTTCTTTTTTTCCCCTAATATAAGGCCCTTTTTGCTAAGTGAATTCTACCATAATCTGTGCAATCCAAATCTTGGCAAAGGGGCCAAAAAGAGAGAGAAAAATAGCTGAAGTCTTCCCATCTCTTCCTTCCTGTCCCAGAAGAACTCTCAGAAGGGCTGATCCGGGTTCCAGCTTCCATTCCAACCATGCAAACCCAATGGAGACTGTAGACATCACCACAGTTTTCTGCCTTCCTTCCCAGGAATGTCTCTCTTACCAACAACACTGATGGCTTAATGTTGACTGCAGCCCTTTGCACTGACTGAGGTCAAGGCCCTCATGTGACTATGACATCAACCAGGAGTCATATAGAGTCCTCTGGGATTGACTACATTATCTTCCATTTTCAGTGTCTCAGTTTTGTCCAGTGTTCTCCAACTGCTGAAAGCAGTATTTTTTGTTTTCCTGTCCCACACACTATTTTAACTTAGTAAAGCAAACCCTCTCCATAAAGCTTATCTTGGGCGGGGGGGGGTAGGAAGGGGGGGAAATACTGTATGACCTGATTTTGAGGGATATGTAGAAAAATAATTGTTATTTTTCACCTGTTTTTCACCTTCCTTCAGATGTGGGTGCAGTGGCAGGCGGGGCAGCAGAGAGTTAAGGTCTGCAAGTACTGTACATTCATTAAAGAGCTAGCTGTGCTATGGATGGTTTGAAATTCAGCCAATGAGGAATGACCCCTTAGGCTTTGAGAGATGGGCAGCATGAAATATGTATAGCTCTAGCAGCCAGGGATTAATTTTTTGCTCTGAGGATTCTTCTTGCCTGTTGTAATTAGCAAGAAGGACAGAGTTTCCAAAACAGCAGATGTTTCTTGCTTAAGAGCTTTATGGGGAGAGTGTGCTGGAATTAGACATGTGGGGTCAGTTTAACTTAGGGTGTTATTCCACTAAAATCTAAGGAGTGGCACCAGTGATGAATTTGGCTCGTGCTATGAAGCTGTTTGGGCAGTTGTACAGTCTGTCTTGTCTCTTGTGTTGGGAACACTTGGATTATCTTGGACTGCTCTGCCCTGCTTGTGCTCAGCCCATAAACTTACTCATTGCCATGTGGTATCCCATTCCAGAGGGAGAAGAAACTCTGTTGCTGGGAGTGGAATGGTTTGTTGGTTGTGCTCTTTTTTATGACAGAGAATCAATTCATGCAATGTTAATCTTTTCTGTACCACAGAGAGTATGATTATTTTATTCCTGACTAGGCCCCTCCTCACATGACATCCATTGCCGGCAATGGACATGTGAAAGCTCTGGAGTCCAGGTGTCAATCAGATTGGCTCTGTGGTATGCAACGCTACCCGACTTACCCAGATAGGTATCGGTGTTCACATTTTACAGTTCATTAAATTATAAGAAGAAAAAAGAAAAACTGAAAAGAAATGTGTTTTTCATGCTCTGATGATGATACTGTGAAATCAGAGAAATAACAGAATTGGTTTATCCACCATGTAAATGATGGTTTCAAGGATTTAGAACCACACAAAAATAGTCATTGGGGTGAATGAGAGGGATGTGTAATTTGTACACGGGGTAATTCACTGGGAGCAGAACTGTGGTTCTTTGAGTCAAATTTGTGGGGGCATGGTAGATGAAGTACAAAGGGAAGTGGGACATGTCCATCCACTGTGGTAGTTGCATTCATGAAACAATGGTGTCAGGGGAACTAGAAGCAGTGTCTAAATTCAGATAACCCTCTTACTGCTCTGTTTGATTCTGGTGTAGCATTGCCTTCCACACACTGTCTGCATTAGCTCAGACCATTAGCCTTATAGCAGATTGCACTGAAATACTGTGTCTCCAGAGCTGGCAACAAATATTTAAAGAATGTCAGTATGAGTTGGCAGTAGACATGGTTAGGACTTTATAGTGGAGGCAGCTATCCAGAGCAGCACCAATGTGTCCTTTGGTTTTACAAATCCCCACAAAGTGACATCATTTTTGCATACCTGCATAACAATCTGCTGTTCATACTAAGGAAAGTCCAAGAAGCCTTTGATGTGTGTATATATTATGCCACTTGGGTCCTGTTGCCCCAGGTGCACCACTGTGGCATCTGTGGAAGCTTATTTTACACCAATGATGCTGACAAATACCTTTCAGATACTGTACCCTCCTGGGAGTCTGATTTATACACAGAAGCACACTTTACCTGCAGGTTGTACACCAGGAACTAAGCCTACCAGGCCCAATGCATTCTTTAATCGCCTTAAAATGTCCACTACATGACTCATGCTATCACTAGGACTTCTTTAATGCCATTACACCCCTGGCAACTTTAATAGGCCAGAATATCAAAAGTGCTCAGCTCCTTGCACCTCCTGTTGCTATTAATGGCACCTGTTGGATACTAAACATTTTTGAAAATCTGGTTATGTATTCACCACACTATGCAGGTCTCACTCATGTTTACAAAGAACACTTTCTTGTCGTCAGAGGCTTACCCATTCTACTTCATCTCCCTTTTACTACACATAAATAGTCCTGATAACATCTCACAACAATGGCATCCAAAATGCATTATACCAAGGGCCATGGTGGCAACCGAGTAGGAGCCTGGGAGTGGGGCCTAATTTGCAGAGACATTTACATACAACAGTGATCAAAAAACGCACAAAAGCCTAATATTTGCTTGTACGTGTATCTTCCTCGATAGATTAAAATTGCCTGTTTGAGTTCACCAGCAATAAAAACTTGTGACTTATCAATTTTGTCCTCACTCCTCGGCTACTGGGAGTGGGTGGCCCAAGGCTGTGTTTTTGGATAGAAGGGCAAGTCTTCAGACTCCCCTGTTACGTATTTCTGTAACATCTGTCATCCTAAGGGAGTATAAAGCATTTCATAATTTATACTGGTGCCCATGCATAAGCACCAGCTCAGATGCCATAGATTGTTCATGTTCCAGTGATCTTGCCGGATGAGAATGGTGCTATTAAAGCAGTTAGCTACACTTTTTAAAAACTCCTTTTAGCATCATGATCCGGATACATGTGTTTGTATGTACCAGGATCTGGTAAGCCTTCACATTGCCTTTGGTCTTAGTCCACCTTGTAATCAAAATCCCCTTGGGCAGAGATAATTCGGTCAAGGCTTTGCTTCAGTAGTCATGTGAAAATAAAAGTAGGTGAAGAAAGCCTGAAAAGTTTAACAGACTTGGAATTATAAGTGGGTAACATGAGTCTTCCCGGGTCAGCAGTATTGTTCCTCCGTGATGCTTTTGCCAAAACCTAAGCTGAGGGAGAAGGGACTCTTATTCAATTTGAACTTTTGCCCTTTCTGTATTATGAATGCAGCTCACAGGTTTCTAGTACACTGTGCATTTAAAAAGTGCTGTTTTTAGCTTATTCTGGCCTCTAAAGGGATGCAGCACAGAGTGCGTTCAAGAGGAGATTTTGGAAACTTGCTGTCTCTGCTTTCAATTCCTCCAGGTTTCTATCCATGTTCCTCAGCTCACAAGTAAAATATTCCCTCCTGCCCTGACCCTTAACAGAAGGATCTTATTGTGATCTCTGCTTTTTGACTTGCATCTCTTATATTAAATGAAAGTATCTCTTCTGCCATACAATCCCCTCCAAAGCCAAGAGTTTCTCCCACTATGCAACAGCTTTGACCCAGTTCCAGTATGCAGGCTAGAAGAGAAAATTATGGAGCCAATAGGAACAAGAGCTTTTGTTCAACTTTGTGGCAAATAGTGCCTGACACGTCTATGTTTTACAGGCCCCAAATAAGCTTTTTATAATCTGATGTTATTGGAAGTTTTTTTCCATTCTCCTTGGGAAATCCATATACCGGCAACCCCCACTTAATGCTCTTAATTTGTTCCCAAAAAAAACCAAGCGTTAAGTGGAACAGCATTAAGCAAAATACATTTTCCCATAGGAATTGATGTAAATAAATATAATTTGTTACCAGCAGCAGCGATGGGAGCGCCTGGTAGCTCAGGGCCAGCTTGGCCAGCACCGTACTATTGCTGCCCACCTGGGCCTGGGCCGAGGAGGCGGTGCTGTTGGTCCCTTCCATGCTGGGTGGGGGCGGTCACAGTCACTCCGGGCGGCAGAAGCAGGGTTTGGCATCTAGGGCTCCCCCAGCACAAGTCATAGCAGGTGTCATAGGCCTGCTGTGCCTGGCCTGGGTGTGGGTGGGCCAAATTGCACAATGAGGCTGCGCACCACCAATGCACTGTGGCACTAAGGTACACTACCTGCTTGATGCCCAGGAGAGTTCATAGATTCATAGATGTTAGGGTCGGAAGGGACCTCGACAGATCGTCGAGTCCGACCCCCTTCCTAGGCAGGAAAGAGTGCTAGGGTCAGATGACCCCAGCCAGATGCCTATCCAGCCTTCTCTTAAAGACCCCCAGTGTTATAACAAAACTTGCTGAACGCTAAGTGGAATCAGTTACGAAAGCAAAATGAGCGTTATAGCAAAATAGAGCTAAGTGAAAGAGTGTAAGCGGGGGTTGCCCGTATTACCTTCTAGGGGCTAAAGGCCTTTAAGCAAACAGAACTGGGTCTTTTAGCTCAGGCAACAGTTGATGCTTCTAGATCCAAGATTCTGAGACTCAAAGCAATTCACCCTGAGGTAACATGTTACATTCACATGAGCTGGGGGTTACGTCACCTAGGGTCTGCCCACTTGTCACAGTCCCCTATGACCTTCCAAGTGGAAAGAGGCTACGCTGGCACAAGATGCATGCAGTCCCTGCTCTTCTGGCAGCGTCCGCTTGGCTGCCGGCTCTCAAAGTAGTCAGTGCTTACTTGGGAAGGGCCATGGCAATGGATAGGGTAAAGCGGCCCTATCCTGCCTATGTTGTGAATGTAACACTGCCTGCTGTTTTCCAGGAGAGAGGCCCTCCTGGAGTGCAGCTGCCTGCCCTCACTCATGGGAAGAGACATGTTAAATGTCTTGCCTGCAAGATACCGTGTTCTTTGGGGTCCTAATAAGAGTCTAATTCTTCTGGAGACCAAACGTTAAAAGAGAGAAGGCAAATGAGATGCTCCAGCTACAACCTTTCTTAGTCATTATGGTCTCATGTAGGTTGCTCTGATTGGTGGCTGAAACAACCTTGCTAAGATTACAGAGACCAGCTGTGGATGAGGTTAACGCAACTCATCCTAACTTCCTGTCAGGCCTCTGAGTGCTGAGGCTGCAGGTTACACTGTGGCTAGAGTGCTGTGCTGGTGCGTGGTCAAGCTGGTCTGTGGCCAAATTGCATCTGTGGACCACCCCCACATTGGACCAGGCTTGCAGACTTACCCCATGCCACTCATCTGGCTCACGGGTCTGGAGGGTTGGGCAGCACTGCATAACACTATCAGGAAATGCAGTTTTTAAACAAGAGCTTCCAGTGTCTTGTTTTGATCTGTATTTATGCTTTAATTCAGGTGTTTTAGGTATTCAATATCTAGTAAAGTTTTTTACTGTGTGCCTGTCACTGTAGCTGAGCAACTGATACTGTAGCAAGGGAGCAGAAGCAGAACATAAAAATAACCTACTTATCAAAAAAGCTATGCCATGCAAATGAGCTGTTGAATATTCATCAACACTGCAAGTTGAGGTGTTGCATCATTTACATATCTCTGCAGCTTTCTGGGCCTTTAGCCATAACAGGCTAATGTTACTATTTGGGATGGATTTTTCTTTCCACAATGGCTGCCTGGCTCCCAATTCATGCCATGCCACCAGTCTAGAATGGTGGGGCTTTTCTGGATGTTTTGTTTAACAACAGGTCTTGTCCTTCAGTAGTATCTTCCACCCAAGGATCTCAGTGCTTCATGCAAATTAATAAATTAAGCCTCATGTCAGCCTTGTGAAGGTTGGTTGGGAGTATCTCTGGTTGATTGGTGGTGGGCTTAAGGTACAGAGAGGTTGAAATAACTACTACAGCTTTGGAGCTGGTATTCTCCAAGACTATAGAAGATCTTCTGGGTACTTGAAAAATGGGCTAAGCAGTCTACTCTTTCTAGAAAATGTCCAGATTTGCAAATGATCCCTCATGAGGTTTCCTGGCTTTCAACAAATAGAGCTGAGGTAGGAACAACATGCAGGTCACTCAGTTTTTCTCCCAGCTGGCCCTGGTTGCCTGGGTTGGGACTCTCTGTTGCACCCTGAGTGCCCTCAGCTGGCCCCTGTTAACGTGGTCCTGGCTGCTGTGTATAACTAATAGCCCTCACAATGCTTTGTGGGTTCTTAACCAGGAAGTGTTTCTTTTCCCTCTGTTTGGTCCTAGTGCTCTTGCTTCCTGACACTGGACACGTCTACATGAGATGCTATGTAGCCATAGCAATGACTGTGTAGCAGCTTGGTCCTACAATAGCAAGGTTATGCTATTGTACTTTCAGGAAAAGGGACCCTAATGACAAAGGACACGGCAGGGATATAGAGCAGATGCTTGTTTGTTTTTACTGTGCAGTAGCTTGGGAAAAAACCTTTGCGGCGTTGGGACTGCACAGTAATGCCAGTTACTGTGCAATCATTTAGTACTTGCTAAGCAACTGAACAGTCTAGCATACATGTAGACACCTCTGAGCATCCTAGGTTTGTTCCTGATCCTTGGCTCCTGTTGACCCTCTTCCTAGCCTGAACCTGTGCCCTGTTCCAACCTGAATTCGTACCTAGCTCTTGCATAAACCTCTCCCTGCTCTCACCCTTGCACCTGCCTGCTTCTGTCCTGGATTTCTCTGTTCCTGCCTTGCTGGTTCCTGATTGTTCCTGTTCCTATTCCTGGCTTGGACCTCCCAGATTGACTAATGGCTTGCCTCAGCCATGAACCTGTCTTGATCCCTGGCTTGGTTCCTTGGACTCTGAGTGATACTTGGTTTGTGACCCTCAGCTTTGGCTCTTGGACTGCTGGTATTGTGGCCCCTTTGGCTTGTGACCTTCCTTGGATCTTGGACTCCTGGTTTGTCAACCTGTGGCTTCAGATCTCAGATTCCTGGTATGGTGACCCTCAGCTCTGGTCTCCTAAGCCTGTGCTCTTAACAGATCCCCAACCTCTCCAAGGCCAAATCAACCCATGACTGTGATACTGACCTTATGGTTGCAGGTCACTTCTGATGTGCTCCCAAGTGTCCTCAACACTGTTCCAGATAAGAAGAATCTAATTCTTCAGGGCAGGGGTCCAGCAAGATGAAGGTTCAGCATGCCTTTGTATCTGTCTCCTGTGACACTGGAGCAGTGCAGTTTGAGAGTTGCAGAATTCCTTTCTCTGAAGCAGTGCGGGTTGGAAAGCAAAGACCTGAGGGATGTCAGAGTATTGGCCAACTCCCTAACTTCCTGTCTGAGCCAAAATGCTGTATTCTGCTCACATGTTCTAAATTGTCCTTTTTATATTTTCCAATTATGTCGGATTGTTGTCCCATTAACTATTTCCATTTGTTGTCATTTAATCTTCATCTTGTGGTAGCATGCAGATCCAGTCAGGGTCAAGGACCCATTCTGCTGGGCATTTTGTAGGTATATTTGGAGGCACACATCTATTTTGGTGTAGTATTACCAGAATTATCACCAGAGTGAGGTTTACATGTTCAAGGTGCTAGATTCAGGCCAAGGTTATGCTATTGTACTTTCAGGAAAGGGACCCTAATGACAGAAAGGACACAGCAGGGATAGAGAGCAGATGGCTATTTTAAACCCAACTCAAGACTTCTGATAAGTTCCTGGAAGGACACCTCGTAACCTGGAAGGAAGAGTTTTGTCTTCTAT